GTGCGTGTGTGTGTGTGTGTGTGTGTGTGTGTGTGTGTGTGTGTGTGCATGTGAAGCACAGAGGTCAACATGGGATGCATTTCTCAATCACTCTCCACCTGATTTTTTGAGACAGGGTCTCTCCTTGCTCCTGGTATTTGCTGATTCAGCTAGACTAACTGGCCTGTGTGTCCCAGAGATGCTCCTGACTCCACTTCCCCGTACTGGGACTGCGGTATGTTGCTGCAGTAAGCCGTTTTTGCATGTGGGCACTGGGATTCAAATGCATGTTCTCAGGTTCCTGCAGCAAGCAGTGCACCCGCTGGGCCATCTTCCTAGCACCCATAAACCATGATTAAATAATCCTTTAATTAGTTTTGCAAAACACCATGTTTTATGAATGCATGTCCTGGATTATGCCTGGATTTAAAAGTGCACATTATAGGACTTTCTTGGCGTATTATCTTGGGTCTTGATTCAGTTTGTGGATTGAAGGCAGTGTCTTTCTTCTCTAGTAATATATTCCAGTGAACCATCGGTGACTGGGAGGTTGCCCATGTATGCTCATCTTTGTGTTCAGAACTCACTCGCTTATCTGTGGTGCTGTTCTGATTGTTTGCTTTGCTGTGTGTGGTCGAAAGAGGACTGTACAGGGCTTGGGGCATGCAGGCAGTTTGGGGTGGCCTTGTGTGTTCCTGTTTCTTCCAGTAATTGGGGACCAGCACCCAGCGCCAGCTTGCCTGGCTGGTCCGAGCACCTATGCTCAGTGCTGAAGCCGAGGGAGGAGTGTGCAATGCATCCCCAGCTATCACTGTATGCTTGAATCACCTTATCCTTGACCGCCTACAAGCTTGTTCGTCTCTGTGGGGTGAGGGCTTCGTGTGACCCAGGCTCTTCAGGGCCTCGCATGCTTTTTCACAGAATGATCTCCATGAATGGATCAGTGAATCAATGTTGTCCCTGGTTACTCACCACAATACTCACGCCTGTCCATGTAGCCTCAGTCTGCCCAAATCTTACCCATACAGATGGCTGCTTCACGGCCATCCAGACTTGCTGACTGAGGTCATCCAGACAGTGCTCTGGATAGGTGGCCAGTTGATGTTGCTTGTTTTAGAATCTTAATGTATGTTTAAAAATATTTTTCTGAGCTAGACGTGATGGCTCAGCACTTGGGAGGACCAAGAGTTCAAGGTCATCTTCAGCTATGTAGTGAGTTAGACGCAAACCTGGGCTACATTTTCAACCCTACACATGTTGTTTCTGATTTCCACATTGTGATTTGAGTTGGCACATGATGTATTAGTAAGCAACACTGAACGTAACAGGGAGAAGATGACCTCCTTTGACTTCTCTCTTTTAGAAATACTTTTAAGATACAACAATATTTCAAATACGTAAACATAACAAGAGCAATACATTAAATGCCCATCACTTGCAATCCATGTTTAACAATTCTGAGCATCTAACAGTACTTGCTTCAGCTTTTCAAAACAAATCAAGCCTGGTAGCTACCACGTGCTTCCGTGCCTTCCACCATTTCCTCTTCCTCCTCCTCACTGCCCAGTTGGTCTGTGCCCTTCCCGCTGGGCTGTTGTTATCCCATGTTACTCCACAGATAAACAGCAGCCCGGCTGCTTTCCTGGCTCTTCACGTAGGCCTGAATGGTCTCGGCTCCCCCAGTCCCTCAGATCTGTCAGATCCCGATGCCCATGTCGCTTTGCTGTTCTCTTTCCCCTGCCAGTTATCATCACGTATCTACAGCCGTCTTGGTTGCTGGCCCCTCGTTCCATGCTTCCTGTCTGCCTTTGTGAGGCGGGGCTTTCATGTTACCCAGGCTGTTCTGGAAGAAACTCAGAGTCTGGCGGAAGATATAGTCAACCAAAATGTAATGGTAGAGATTTCAATTCCATTATATTTAATTGCATGATTTCCTTTCTATAAGAGCAGGTGTGTTTAGTGTTATGGAGTATTCACCAGAGAAGACAGCGTGGACACGGGTTAAGCCAACAGAAAGTCTTTACTAGTCAGCCAGCAACTACACTGGGTGTTCCGGATCCCAGTGTAGCCCTGAGCCTTTCTTGGGGTGAGTTTTTAAGCATACACACACACACACACACACACACACACACACACACACACACACACACACCAAACCCAAACAAACAAACAAAAACCATGTCCTAGGTTGACACACCTCAGTTAACAAGAATAGTTAGCCAGAAGCATAACTACAGAAGCCCAAAAGCAAGGTTAGTCCATTCAGAGACTATCTCTATGGATGATGGACTTTGATGGATCGGGTCTTTGCTTTAGTTTTAGTTGGTGGTGCTGTTTACGTGCTGAGTTTTAGAGCCTGAATGGTACTTCTATCATGGAGTGGCTTATGCTAAGGTCTGGGGACTTCTTTTTACAGTAGTGATTTATGCTTTCTTTTAAATTAGACAAAAGGAGCCGGGCGGTGGTGGCGCACGCCTTTAATCCCAGCACTCGGGAGGCAGAGCCAGGCGGATCTCTGTGAGTTCGAGGCCAGCCTGGGCTACCAAGTGAGCTCCAGGAAAGGCGCAAAGCTACGCAGAGAAACCCTGTCTCGAAAAACCAAAAAAAAAAAAAAAAAAAAAAAAAAAAAAAAAAAAAAAAAAAAAAAAAAAAAAAATTAGACAAAAGGAAAAAAAAACTGTTGATAAGAGCACAGATTGTATTCGGACGGAAAGAAATGAGGCCATTTATGGTGGAACAGCTGAAATCTTTAGGTACCTGGTCTAAAGAAGGGAGTTTGATGTTCCTTCATAGGGCACGCAGAGCTCCGCCCAATCCCACCTCAGTTTTCACCTGGTCCCAAGATGTACCACCCTTCACCTGCGCGGCTTCCTCCTCCTCACTGTCCCTTACTCTCTAGGGTGGTTGCCGATCCCTCTTTAAGTAGCCAACTCTCCTGCCTAAGCCTGACTCTCAGGCTTCCTCTCTGGCTCAGAGGCGGGCCTTCCTCAGTAGCAACCACAACACTATGTACTATCCTGAACCAACTCTACACCAAAGGAGAATTTTGTGTCAGTTATTAGGGCCAGGGGAAAAGATCTTTTTTTTTTGGGGGGGGGGGGTGATGTTTCCAGGAACTCTGTATTAATTTTCCACAGGAAAAAGTGTCTATCTCCTATTTTCAAGTTTGAAGTTTTACACATCAGCCTGCTTAGGAATTTCAGTACCTAATCTAAAATGGCTTTCCTTCACCTGGAGACATGTCACCTGCTGCCTGGATGAAGGGTGAGAATAAAAAGATAACACACAAGGGCAGCAGCGGTGGTGGGAAAGACAGCCTTTATCCATTCCTTCACAGTGGCTCAGGGGTCGGCACCCAGTACCTGAGCCGAGTGACTTCATCAGGGGGTTCAAAGTCAGATAGATCCCTTTAGATATTTTAAAACATTAAAAAATGCTCAGCATATAACCTTCAGAGGCGCAGCTCCCCGACCACTGCTGACATTTGCATGCTATGGGAACAGCCTTCTTAGCATCATGGTGCGGTTCTACCGAGCATGGATTCACCAGAGTGAGTCCAGGACAAAACAGGCCCGCAGACCCTCGCTGCATTAGCAGGGTCCGCTCGTTGGTTCACTTGACGTATTCTGAAGCTCAGTTCACAAGTCATGATTTAAGAAGTGGCAGCAGCTCCGGTATTGGTGTACACTTGTAATCTGAGTACTTGGGAGGTGTTTGCAGAATGAGTTCAAGGCCATCCTCTGCTCCACAGTGGATTAGAAGCCACCCTGAAGTACATGAGGTCTGGTCTCATAACCAAACCAAGCTAACCAACCAATAAAATAAATAAAAGGAGCCTCTTCCCCCACCCCAAAGAAAACAAAACAGAAAGCAGAGTCAAAACCAAAACCCGCAATGCACTTGGCCTCTGGTCTTAGATGTGAAAGGACCATTCTCCGAGCTACTGGATTGAAGGGAGTGGGAAGAGTTCAGTATTAATGTTTTCTTCAAACGTATTTTGCCGGGCCGACCCAGGAGGGAGGAAGGTCTGCGCGGGGGCTGGGGAAGTGACTTCACACTTTTGATAACAGAAAGTCCTGTTATCACTGCAAACACCCAGCTTTTGAGTGAAAAAGCAGCGGGCCAAGTCAAATCGCTCGCATGTCACGTCTTACTCTCCCCAAGCCAAACTTTCTCCGTCAATCCGGGTAGGTCACTGGGGAAAAGCCGCAGAGAAGGAAACGCTGGCTTTGGCGGCAGTGTGTCGCCCAATTAATGTTGGTCTGGGAGTCACCTGAAGCCTTCGAGCTACTGCACCCAGGGAGCAAGCTTGCTTTTCAATTCGGTCATTTCCATGGGGAATTGCGGCACGCGCAGGTCCTGGGTGTGGCGATGTCGAGATGGAGCTCACATCTCCAGGCTTTCCACCTTCTGGCCAATCTACCCAGCTGAGAGAACCACGGATGATCCGGGCCTGCCTTCCTGCAACTCGGGAACGGCAAACGACCGCGACCCCGTGGCCACTGCCCGGTGCCAAAGCCGGGCTGCGCGCTCCGAGCGTGTGAGCTTCTCCCCAACCGGCTCTGCGCCGGGAGGCGGATCCCCTTCCCTGCGCACAAGTCCTTATATGCACCGGTTGCACCGGCCCGCCTTTACTCCAGCCCCACAAATAATTAATGGGGGACGGAGGACGGTGCTGTCTTTTCCCGCTGCCTCTCCTCACCACCTTTTCACCATTAGAGCATCTGAACCCAGTCAAGAAACCCCAAGATGCGATCGAAGGGCCATTTTGGTGCATTGCACAAATTGGACACATTAAAAAATAGCCTTCGGGTCCCTGCACAGCGAGGTTCAAGATCGGCTTTTCCGATTCAGCACTATTAACCCGCAAAAGCTGGGGCGGAAAGGGTGCGCGCCCCTCCCCCACCCTGGCTAGTGCAGAGGGACCCGGTCAGGAAGCGCGGCCTCTCCCCAGTCGGAGACCACGCCTCCTCCCCCCCCACTCCTCCCAGGAAGCGGTGATAGACAGTTCTGTGTGGTTCTCCACCCCCACCCCCCCAGCTGAGTGGAGGAGTTGATATGTCTCATTATAACAGCCAATGCAGCCGCCATCCACGCACAAGCAAAGAAGCATGTCCCATTTAAATACACCCACGCAGCCCCAGCGCCCTTAGCCGATCAGGGCGCGCAGCCCACACGCACCGCGGCTCCGGGCTTGGAGATCCGCGCAGGTCGGGCTCGGGATCCCGCGGATCGACGCTCTCGGAAGATCGGCATCGGACTCTTGTGGGGCCCGGGTGGGCGGGGGAGGCTGGGCCCCGGGCCTCTCTGGCGGACAGCCGCATGAGGACGCGAGCGAAATAGACCAGGGTGGAATTGCCAAGGCAGACGCTTCGGGGTGGTTTGGTCCATTTCTCCCGCGAAGAGTCGACATGGCGAGCGACTCCCCAGCTCGCAGCCTGGATGAAATCGATCTCTCCGCCCTGAGGGTGAGCAGAACGTGTTTTCTCCTTTCTTTCCAATGGTCTGGGGCTGGGCGAGGGAACGTGCCCTGGCTTCCTGTCCTGATTCCGGGGCAGCGGATGGGGTTCTAGGCTGAGCCTCTACCCCTACAGCAGGGGCTGGGCTGCCCTGGTGCTCCTCGGCTCTTCCCCGGCTCCGCAAGGAAGCTGGTGGAGCTTATGTCAGTTTCGTCTTCGGTCGGTGTAAGAGAATTACATGAAAGGCGTGTGTGTGTGTGTGTGTGTGTGTGTGTGTGTGTGTGTGTGTGTGTGTGTGTGTGTGTACCCGAGCAACCGTCTCCTGCCAAGGCGCGAGACCCGACTGCTCCTGGATGCAAAAAGAATCTCTTCAAGAATAAAGGCACTGGCCCCTCAGGGTTGCCAGCTACCTGCAAGATGCCATCGTGAGCCTAGCTGTCCCCACCAGCCGACCCTGCCTCTCCAAGGGACAACAATTGCTGTTCCGGGCTGGTCTGGTAGATGGCCACTGGCTGGCCTCCCGGGTTCTGCCTCCCGTGCGAGGGCTCCGGCTCCGCGCTTCCCCAAACGCCAGTGTGCACTCACCTTTATCTGCGGTTTGAACTCAGCCCTGCCTGTGCCTTTCTAGCTCGGTGACTGTGACCTTTCAGTTTTATGGCTGAACTTCAGCAGGTGAAAGGGACGCTTTAGCTGCTTCTCCCCACCACACCGGAACTCCCTGGAGAGACTGTGTGTGAGTGTGTGTGTGTGTGTGTGTGTGTGTGTGTGTGTGTGTGTCTCCCGGGTCTGTGACCAGTCCTTTGTAGAACACCTTCCCTTCCCCCAGCTCCTCTGCTTTGCCTTTACCTTCTCCTGAAACACCTCAGACGTCGTTCCATTGTATTGAATACGACTTTAGTGATCTAGAATCCATTTTGCTGTTGTTTGGAGATCATACTGCCAGGAATCCCACTGCAGCTTCGACGCTTCCCCACCCCCACCCCTAATCCCAGCACACTCCTTCGGGGAAGGGAGCCCAGCGTTCTTGCCATTTTAATTAGATGCTGCCTGCCAGGAAGGGGGTAAGGAGGGGTGGTGGCGGTGGCAGCAGGGATCTGAGGAAGATTGGACACCAATCTCAGTACGACTAGTTTCCTCCTCTCCCAAACTAAAAATAAAATAAAGAGCCAATGCATATGTTCGATGCCCCGAGGGTAGGTGAGACTGAAGGCAGGTGGCTCACGTCACCGACTGCCAGGATGGGGGCAAGTTCAGTGGTCCTCCGGAACACACTGTTAGACCGATGCTCAGTCTTGGGGCCGTTGATCTGTGTCTCCTGCCCTTACCTCTTTCTCTACAGACATTTATAAATGCTACCTACCTGTCTGATCGAAGTGGTACTTTTTCTTCAGGCTCTGTGAGCCTCTGTTCTGCCCACACCTTGAATCCTTGGCCCTTTCCTTATCTTTTGGTCCAGAGAGACAAGGATTCGGAGAGGCAGTGCTCAGGTTGAGAACGGACTGCCCTTTGAAACGGGCTGCGGTGATAGTGGGGCAGCAAGAGCTCATTCATGCATGATTACAGTAAGCTGACTGTTTCTCTAGAGCCCGAAGGCCACATCCAGAACCAGTGGGCAGCCGAGTGTGGGGGCTGGGAGCAGAGTGGGTGCTTCGGGCAAGCAAGTGTATGTGTGGCTCCCGCTTGCCCACTGTGCCCTCCTTTACTCTCTCCGGCTGGGAGTTACTGTGGGTGAGTTAACCAGGTGGACCAGTGGCCCAGACTTGGGGGAGAAGGAGTGGCTAAGAGGTAGGCCTGAACAATGAGCCAGGCTTGTGATTTAGCTGAGCCAGAACCATAGCATCATTCTCCCTGACGTGATTCTTAAGTTGAGGGGGGGGGGTTGGCTCCTGTGGGCAAGATGCCCAGCACAGAAGCTGCCATCAGAGCTACTTGGTTCACACCCCGGGGAGACCTGTGCCCTGCAATCTGTGTGTGGAGCAGGTATCTTTGCATGATGCCCTGGGATCGCTCTTTGTCACCCAGGAAGCTCAATGAACTCTCTGCCTGCACTGGGGTATGCCTAGAGCTCGGACTACAGCTCCTGGGGAGTCTGGGGAGCTGCTGGCTGGAAGACTTATGCAGATGGGCAGACACTTGTACTCAGCAGGCCTGGGAGCTTCAGGCAGTCTTGGGGTGGAGGAGGCCTGCAGATAGGTTTGTCTCCCAGGGCTAGTGGGTGGGCCACACACATCAGAGTGTAGAAGGTGACTGGCTCCCCAGATTTGGAGACGTTGATTCCTGAGCTTGCAGTAAAGCCTGTAAGCGATCACCTCCTGAGGAAAAGCCTGACCCCTGAAATGCAGGCAAGGTCAGTGAGTCAGCCTGCCAGCCCCTCCATGTTCCTGTGGCTCTTTAATGTATACAATCAATGCTCTTTGTAAACCCTGCGCTTGGGGATTTAAAGGCAGCTCCTGTCTAGAGAGGCCTTTCCCCTTCTGACTTTGGGGGCTCATTGTTCTCAGCCAGTGATCCCAGACTGGGCCCCGTCTAAAATTCCCCCAAATAGCAACAATGCATAACTCAAACCAGAGCAGCCAGTATCCCTACCACTTAAATCACACAAGATTTGGGTGTTGGGTTTTGTTGTTGTTTGTTTTGTTTTGTGCGTGTGAAATGAAGTGGGATCTTTCATTAGAAAACAGACCATCAGAATTCAACGTATTGAGTCCTCATCTCAGGGTTCATGAAGCTCAACTGAATCTTGGGTGTTGGGTAGGGATGGGTTCATAGATGAACGCTGGAAAAGAACTGGCCATTCCTCTCATGTGTCATCCAGGAGACTGAAGCCCAGAGAGGGGAAGTCTGTTGTCCAAGGTCACACAGCCAAAGGGGAGATAAAGCAGCTGGAGCAGAGAATCTATGGTTCCCGAGTCCTCAGTCTTCTTTCTAAGACACATCATCTGTAGCTGAAAAGGAAATCAGTGGCATGTCATCTGCTTGGGGGTCGGGGGAGGGGGAAGCCAAGAGAAGTCATTGGACCAGGGTCAAGGAATTTTTTTTTTTTTCATAAAAGTGAACAACCTGCTAGAAGCAGAGAACTTACCAATGCAGGTGAGCAGAGCTATTAGGCACCTTTGGAATTTATCCTGTCCTGCCTTCTTTCAGTCCCTTCTTCACAGGCAAATGGCAATCTAAATCACGTAGCACAGACAGTTGCCCTGCGTGGATAGCCTCTCAGTAACCCATCTCCATCTGAACATGTCCCAGGGGTCCTTCCAGACACACACATTATTCAGATGCCTCTGTGTGTGAGGTTTCTGGCGTTCATGCATGCTTTGTACAATCACTGTAGATGCGGATATTACATACAGTATTATGGACATAAACTCTGTCTATGTGGGTGTATGAAAATGTGTGTACATGCACACTGACTACTGCAAACAATCCCCTATTCAGACCTGGGCTTGAGTCATGCCTGCTTGAGACATCCCTGTATTAGAAGATGAAATTATCCACCATGATGCTCGACTGCCTCTGAGCGGAGCTGGCCAGAAAGCTTTTTGAAGATTAGCATGCTTCTGAACTGGAGCACACTGGCTCTCCTCAGCTTGGCCCACGGTGTCAGACATTCAAGGTCAGGGTGCTAATCCTGTACTTTCAGCTTGGAGCAGGACTCAGACACACTTTTCTGTTCGAACAGCATGAGATGCCTTACACCCACATTTCTATGCCCCCTGCCTTCCTGGCCTCGCCATTCTCAGTCCTCTTCCTCTCCTCCTCCCCATATGTGTGTGCAGTGTAAGCATATGTAAGTTGGTACATGCATGTGCACAGGTGTCATGCATGTGTGTGTGCATGTGAATGTAGAGGCCAGAGGTCAAGGTCGGGTAACATCCTCTATTTTTCTTACCTTTTTTTTTTTTTTAGTTAATTTTTTATGTATTCATGCATGCCAGTGCACCAAGTGCCTCTGGGAGCCTGCAGAGGAGGCCAAAAGTGGATGTCTGATCCCTAGAGCTGGAGGTAGAGATGGTTGTGAGTTGCCATGTGAGAATCACACTCAGGTCCTTCAAAGAGCTCTCATCTCCCTTTCTACTCTCACTCAACCTGGAGCCTACTGTTGGGCAAGACTTGCTCGTCCCCAAGCCCCAGCAACCTTCCCATCTCCACCCTGCCTCCATACCCATCCCTGCCACAGACAGGTGTTTTTCTGTGTGTGGCTGCTGGGGATCCAAACTCAGGTCCTCATGCTTGTGTGGGAAGCACTTGACCAACTGAGCCGTCTCAGACCCTAACCATGTCTTCCTCCATCAAAACCCAAATTGAAAACTTGATCTCACTTGGAAAGCTTGCATCTCTTGACTGCAGACTTCATACTTGTGTTACAAGGGGTGTGAGGTTCTCTTTTTGCCTCCTCACAAGAGGTTTGTTAAGGGCCATGGAGTCATTTGTGTTTGGATGCCTCCTTAGTTAAATAAATGACTGGGTGAGTGGATGAATGAAGGGCTGAGTATATGCGTGAATGAATGCATGTGTGAATGAGGTGGAATGGCCACGAGCGTCCGGATTCTCTGTGCACATCCTGTAAGTTCTGTGATTTGGGGCATGCCACTTAAGTGTCAGCAGCACAAAGATGGAAGGACAGCTGTTTGTCTTCATCCCCCTGGGGTCTAAAGTCAAAGACTCTATGGCAGAGCATCTAAATCACAAGGCAGCAAACAAATGGGTCATTCGATAGAACTTTATGGGAAGCTCCAACTCACCAACATTTGATCCCAGTGACTACGCCTGGCAGAAGATGCAGAAGGATGCTTTTTGTTTGTTTTTTGAGACGGGTTATTAAGATACAGCCAAGGATGGTGTGAAACTCACTCTGTAGCCTAGACTGGCCTTGAACTGTGAATGCTTCTGCCTTAGCTCCTGAGTGTTGGGAGTACAGGCATGTGCCCACCGTGTCTGGCTTAGAAGGCACATCATTTGAGTGTGTGTATGTGCATATGTGTCCATGCCTGTGGAGGCCAGGGGTTGAT